GGTTCAATCACATTACCCAATTCCATTTGATTTTCTTCAACATCTTCCTCTGGGACGGCTCTAATTTGTTCGTATTGTGGCCGTTCGTTGGCAACATATTCTATTCCTTGCGATCTGCGAGCATTTCTACGATATGGATGCGAACGATGTTGCCGAGTGCTGCGTGAACGTCTGGTACTTTGTAATACTTCCGAATAAGTTACGATGGGAAAAGGGCCAGAAATATTGTTGGAACGATCAAAATCAGATTGTGATTCAGCCTCTGGTACTCTTACAATACCATTGATTTGGCTGTTACCGAGCACTCTTGGAATCTGATCTACACTTACTATATCCATGGAATAGTTGTTGCCCATGACTTCATTTATAACAACGTATCTAGCTCCCTGACTTGTTGTTGAAGAACGGCTACGATTTAAATTTAGATTGGGGTTGTCTTCACCAGTGTTATAAATATTAATATCTCCGTTGGAGGAATAAAAGAACCCATGAGAACACATACTTGCTGTTTAAATATGAAATTAATATTAACACACGACACGTTATATCGAAACAATTATTTCTTACCCACCAATGTAGAAACGAAATACAAAATAAACTAAAAATAAAATTAGACTGATTTTTTAATTTTTTCCTGTTTTCCAATATTTTAAATAATTTATTTCAGAAGCGTATCCCCAATAAACAATTACTTTCAGTATCTAAACGAACTGACAACTGAAAATTATATAACTTTACTTTTTCTAGTTAAAAATTTTTATAAATTGTCATTATTTAAAAAAATTTATAACTTAAAAATCGAAACTTAATAGGCTTGGATATATAGGAAAAGTATTGAGAATATTCGAAAGGAGCTAAACTGATTTAACATATATGGGCAGCTTTTTTTTTAATTCTAAAAATTTTATACTCTCTTCAGAGTATATCTATGTGAAGTATGTTCTAAAGTTCATCTTTGTATTGGGTACCTTCAACTTCAAGTGTTTGTTAATAATAATATAAAATTCTGTTTAAAAGAAAATTTGTTCCAAAGAATAAATCATTTTTTTTTAATTTCATTGTTTATTATGGGACCATTACGATGAATAGAAACAGATCAACTGCATATGAGTGCAATTGGCTCTTCAAGATGTGGGTAAAAACTTTTCGAATGACTTCTACATACTCATAACACTTTTGTTGTACTGAAAATGCACTTTTCCGCTGCCAAGTTAGGTAACCTCTAGATAATTGTTAATATGAGATATTAAGCCAAAGACCGCCAAAGTGTCAATGGATAAAATCTATTTATGATCGCCAGTCGAATTGTGTGGAATAAATTGTGGACATATATATTGGTAACAATATATTCGATCGAAATACAATGTTATCTTTATACACTAAAATCAATTCCATAAACTTGAATGAACATTTTTGACTTATGTTTGATGAACTCACGTATAATTTTGTGGAATCTGCGGTGACTATGTATTTCGCGTTAATCAATCAAAATATTTCAATAAAAATTTTACAAAGATCGAAACAAAAATATTAGCTCTGTTTGACTCTGATTTTATAATGATAACATTAAGATCCTCTCCCTTTAACAAAAACAACTCCACTTTTGTTCGTTGTTCATGTAAGCATTCTGAAATATTATATCTTTAAGTTTTTTGCCTGTATTTACAACCGGAAATAATTACTCCCTTTCAATGTGACATTGTTTTGAATGTGTGTCCATATTTTATTCTTATTTAACTATTAATTTTTCTAAATAAATTTAGTTTTCTTAAAAAATTTTTATTATATCTGCCAGACCAGCTATAAAATTGATTGAACATATTGAGTAAAGTTTGCTTGTGACTGCAGTTTCGATTTAGAGATGATGAAATATATGATGATGAAGTATATTTTATTTCAGTATAATATGCAAAATCTACTTTCCATTCTTAACTTTGCAAAATAGACTATGCATATACTATTATATGTATAGTATACTATTATACTATGCATAATATACTCTTAACTATTGCTTTATATTTGATTATAGATACCATATTAAAATAATTAATCTCATCTCTCAAAAGTTCTGGTATAATTCCATATCCGTGTAATAAAATAATTTGTTAATTTAAGATCTGCAACCGTACCATACCTTGGTACTTTGTTATTTTCAACTCTTGTAATTGCATAGCAGATATCGTACACGTCTGGCATTAGATCCTTATAATGAGAGGATTAATTGGAGATATCGAATGCTGTTGTTACTAAAGTTTTGTTGTTGTATTCTTGTACTCAAGAAAATTTTTTATTCCGTCATGAAAATAAAATTTCAACTTATTTACCGTAAACTTTTACAAAAGTTAAGCCAGAGCCAGGAATCGTGTACACGATTTTTTAATTATATACAGAATATTCTGACTACATTTCTAGCAAAATGTATATCCCATTCTGTAACTATTCTGTAGATATATTAGCAATTATTTCCTGCTTAATTAAGTTGCTCTTCATCATTATTTAATATACATTCTCGGAGTCTTGTTTGTGTTTTTCTATAGATCAACTTTTTCTAAACTGCATTTATGCAGCTCTGGTACAATCAACCCCTGGTTTGTCTTCCCATTCTTTGTTTTAGCTTATAAATTGTTTAAAGTACAACAGAAGAGCTTAAATATTTGAGGGTTTAAGTAACTTTGAAATAAAATTAAATTTAAAAAAATTTTTACTAAACCACTAATTGTACGCAAATTTGGCGATAACTAAGCCAAGCTGCAATTAAAATGTTTAACCGAAAAACCAGAAATGGCTTAATCCAAATCCTTGGGTACGAAAAACATATATGACAAACATAGAGCGATGCACTAATATAGACGCTCCCGTGCCAATGCACATCGCATTAATGACATTGCAGCGAACTAGAAGTTTTGCTAAAGCAATTAAAGTAATTACCCAAGCGATCAATGTACACTGAACAAATACGTACATGCGTAATCGTGCCTATACATGTATTTGCTTGTTAGATATACTATATACAAAAAAAAATTTAAATATCCTGGTACAACCATACCTACAGAGTTAGCTGCCTAGATAGTTGGAGTTCATATAAATGCAGTGAATTTGTGTTGAATGATAAAATGCAAACAACTTTTAGCAAGTGATAAACATACACATTAGATACATTTATGTACGATCCTGTTGTTGCAGTTGTGCTTTGCGCTCCATGCACCCAAAAAGGATTCAATGGCTTTAGTCAATTTTCTGAAAATTGCTCGTTTCACAAACTAATAGCTTGTGCATCCATAAGAATTTTTCGCATAATTTTCTCTGCTCGAAATACTCGTATGTAATTTTGTGTTAAATATAATAAATATACTATTTACATATTTATTGCCAGCACTGCAGCTAGTTAACTTTGCGAGTTACACACTCCAACATACACGAATAGATACAATTTTTATGTATATTTCGTTTTAATAAAATATAAATAAACATAACTAAACTCAGTTGAGCAGAATCAAGCTGTGTGTAATAATATAGGACAGAGAAGCACGGAGTGGAGTGCAGTCATCAGGATTTTCACATCATATAAAATGTTTACATATGCAAACTTTTAAGCCAAGTAAGCCAACAGTATTAAATATTTAAAATAAATATTTTTAGTTATTAAATGAGTAAAAATAAATATTAAAATATTTTTGCTCCTACAACACATGTTCCTTTATTAAATTGTTTGCTATAAAGTATTTAAAGTATTTTTATGAAAGTTTTAGTTGACAGTGAGTATATATAATTAGTTTAATTGAATTTTATGTGTACATAAATTATTCTAAAAATACTTGGCAAATTGTTTCAAAGTATTTGTTTTAATATAGTAGAGTAGTGATATAAAATTTCTTATTTTTTTCTACGATCATACTATTGAAATCACATATTCGTGGTCTTTATATAGGTCCGTCTGGCCCTGTACTAGCAATGAATTTGTTATTATGACCATTTGAATCACTTTAAAATTCAAATATTACTTCATTTGCTTCTAACTAATTTGTTGTTTGTAAATTATTCAGAGTTATCTGTCAGTTAAAGTAATAAACATATTTGCAAAAAGTTGTGATTAATTCAAAAATAGACTTTATTTACTGTTTCTTACTTCTGATAACCAGGAAGAGTTACCTTTATTGCTTTCAGGTTGACCCTGCAGAAATAATAATATCATTTTTTTTTCTTGGAAAAATCTAATCTTTGGAAAATGCAAGGTTTGAACATCCAAATATAGTTTTGAATAATAAGTTCCATTACCTTAATATTGTTTTACGTTTGGCGTTCTTTATTAAACTCATTTAACAATACACAACAATAGTGCCAACTTAATAAACTTAACTACAGTGTGTACTTTGAATTATTAAATATGAAATACATAGTGTGTTTATATACAACACCCTCTAACAGAGTGTTTATACAACAAAGATTTAGACTGGAACGACTGAATAGATTTCTTTCACAATTAACTGCATCCCTCAGCATTGACTAATTTTTACGAACTTATCTTTGAAAACAATCAGTGTGTTTGTAGGTTAAGTTAATCTTAGAGTGCGGGTATTGATGCAAACACCAATACCAATAGCCGGAGGTAATTATTGCACACTGTGATGCCTCAAAATTAGCCAGGAGACGAACTATGCTAACTATTGGTTACAAGCTTAACTCCATGCTATATCTTTGTTAAACTATTTGTTAAGGAACCCCGACAAGTCTACTTTAATGAACTCTGCCAATACAGTGAAGAAACCGTTTCTTAGACATTGGATTTGTCTCGGAGGAAGATATAGAAAATTATTAATAGTTTTCATCTACTTGTGGCAAGTACTGCATTTTCCGCTTGTTGGAATGTGTCAAAGTTTAAGCTTTGGTGCAATAGTGTAGTTGACCATTAATATCCCAATAAGCATACGACCTGAATATTTGATAAATTATGATAACTCCAATATAAATTTTGTTTTTGTTATATTACCGAAATTGGAAATTGGAAATTTTAAATGATTTTGACCATTCTAGTCTATTACACTTTAGAAACATTGCAGCAACCTCACAGTCTACGTAAGAACTACATTTTTTTTTCATCATCCATAGTCCGAAATAATTCATGTGTCGAGGTCTATGTTAAGGTATCGGTCTTATTTATATCCATTTCGGAGAGTCTCATCTATTAGTTCATTTTGTACGACATATCTATAACTAGAGACCCAAAAAATATTTTTCAGTGCGGTACGATATTTCATTACAATCCCTGATTTAACCATGCTGTATTCAATTCATTTCATTGCTTCTAGACTATCTATAATAGTTGTAACATTCGTAGGTTGACGGGCACTAGTTTGTAAAAACTTGAGTACTTTTTTAAGTGCGTATATCTAAGTTCACAATTATACCCCATAACAATATGTGAAACGATATGATGCTGTCGTGCCGCTTTTTTCCTTTAAGCCACCTTTATATATGACAACTTCGAACTGTGACAGGCACACAGTTGCGACATCCATCCCTGGTTAACTATCCCTGATTAAATAAAGATTTGGAACTTTAGTTTCAAGACCTGGATAGATATCATTTATTCTGTAGCTGATCCCAAATGAGCTTGGATTAAACTTCCATCCTTTTTATTTTTATTCCCAAATAACGTACTAGCACCTTGTCGGTATTCAAACATTAGACTCTCGTAATCTGAAAGCACAATTGGCGGCAATGTATATGTTTCG